GCGGCCTGCGAGACGCGCTGGGAAGTGCCCAGCGGACAGCGCCACCGCGGTCGCGTCCGTCGCGCCGAATTAGCTGGCCGATGTGCGCGCGAGAACTCGCGGGCTAGCGCGGTTGCGGCGATGCACCAGCCAGCGCTGAGCAGCCACCGCAATCGCCGCCGCATGTGTTTTGCAACCCTGGTTGCGGGTGGAAGGGCGGGGTGATTGCGCGAGCATTGGAGGTCGTCGCGCGCGGGGAAGTCAAAATCAATTGCGCCGCGTAGATTACACTGCATAATATGGTGGGGCACTCTGTTGGGGGTCCACACTGACGATCACTAATTCATGTCCGCACGCGGCGCTTTACAATCCAAGGCCCTTCGGAACGATGCTGCCGCTGCAGCGTGGGCCTTATCGGCCTCATCTCAAGACAAGCGCGCTGACTCCGTCGTTCTGTGGCACTTTCGCCCCACGTGGGTCATTTTCCTGGATCCGAATCCCTCCTCATCGTTGTCGTCCCCCCTCCACTTCCCCCTCTCCGATTTCCCCTGGTCCTCCTGCTTCTCCCTCTCTCTCTTCTTCCGCTCTGGGTCCTGCTACTGCTGTTCGTCCTCGTCCCCCTCCTGCGCCATCCCCCTTCGCAGTTTCATGCGGGTCCTCCTGCTAATCCGCCACCTCCTCCTCCAATGTGTGCAGGTCCCGTTTGCGGATTGCGCAAAACACGATGGGGTCCTTTTCTGGAATTCCAGGTTCGCTGTGCCACTCGTCGGCGGATAGAGAAAATCAGCGCAATAGGAAGGGATGGGTGGGATGGGTGGGAGGTCAGATACGGCGCTTGCTCCCTCCCTCTGCGCCCTCCTGCTCACCATCGCCCTCCTGGCTCCCTCTGCTCCCCCTCCCTGTCATCGCTCTCGCCCCGCGGCTGCGGCCGATCGCAGGGACTGGTGGCCTCCGCGGCGATGCGATGAGGCCCCCCCGCCTCGCAGACTGACGGGCGCGACTGCCCCGCCGCGGTGCAGCGTGTTGAGCCCGCCCCTCGCGGAATCCGCCGCTGGAAGCTGCCAGGGCTGGGATAACCCGACGCGGTGGCATTACAGGCGATTCGCCAATCTGCCGCAACTCAAAACACATACCCAAGGTGGGGTGGGTTCCTCCTCCCCCTCCTCCTCCTCCTCCTCCTCCTCCTCCTCTTCTGCCCTTGATCCTCTTCTGATTATCAAACTCCCGCGTCTTCTGTTCCTGCTGCTGCTCCTCCTGCTCCTCCTCCTCCTCCACCAGTTGCATGTCCAATCCTCCCCCTCCTGTTCTGGTTTTCCTCTTGCTCCTGGCCCCCGCCTCTCCTGAGAGATCCCCGGAGGCCTCCCGAGGACCACGCCATGCCACAAGCCTCGATGCTCCATCATCGAACCCTCCTCCGCCTCGCCCTCTCCCCATCCAATCCTGCCGCACACCCCAACCTTGCCCCTAGCTTTCGGGCCATGGGGCCGTTCGGGACGATCCCAGGCACCCCCTGGAACGCTCTCGGTCAGGCGCAGCCGCTGGAAGGCATCCCGAGGCTGAAACCGCAGAAAACCTACGGAAATAGTCGAAGACCTCGAGCCTCGAACCCTCCCCTGCCCCCTGAATCTTGTCGCCTGGGATATACTCGCCATCGGAGGCGCCCGATGGGGGCCCCCCCCCGCGCCTCCGTTGGCGATGGGCCCCCCTCGAGCCAGCAGCGGCCGCGAGTGCGGTGAGCGGACGACGCCTGGAAGGAGAGGGCTCGCTGGCGGCGAGCACGGGACGTGCACGGTGATCGACGGTTCAGAGACGGGGCCCCGAGGGACGGGGCCAGAAAGGCGAGGGGCCTGAAGAAATGCTCGACGCTGGAATGATCTGGGATAACTCTGGTCTCAAGTAATTCCAGTTTGGGGCCCCGACGCACGATCTAGGAGTTATCCCTGACAACCACCAGCACAGATGATTCGGGGCTCTGACAGTGTAAGTTCAGCGTGGGATTCCTTCCCATCGCGGAGCCCCATCCCGCAGGTACCGATACTGCTACTCCCTGGACCTCTCACGGGGTGCGCTCTGACCAGAATTTTGAAGCGCCTTCATCAGACGTGGCGACGAGGGCCTCCCAGGAGGCTCAACAAGGGGAACAAAAAGAGGGAAGGGTAGCAGTACCTGGGGGAAAAAGGGCAGAGACACAGGGGAACAACAAGGCCCATGAGTACCTGCTCCTAACGCACCCCCGATGCTCATGCCGTTCCCTCCCGTTCCGCCTCACTGCATTCCCTCGCTGGCTCTCCTCTCGCGCTCCTTCCCTGCACTCCTGAGCGGTCTCCCACCTCTTCCCCTCTCGCGCTCTGTTCTCCTTCCTCTTCGTGCCTCCATCTGTTCCCGGTGCACTAAGTGCCTGCCACGATCAGCGCCTGGCTGTCTTGGACCATTTGGCGCCCGCGAAACAAAAAAAAAGTCCCGCCCCACTGGTGAGGGGGGCCGTCATGGGGGGACCGGCTCAGGGGGGGAGGCATATCGACCTGGAATCGGAGATACAGCGCCGATAGATCGGCGATGCATCACCGATAGATCGGCAGTAGGCCCTGGACGGCTCCTCGACGGGCTATCGGGCCCACACCCGCACGGTCCTGGGCGGGCCCCTTATCGGCGATGAGTGGGCGATTGGGGGTCGATGCGCTCCATTATCCCCCCCCCCACGTTGCCTAGGGGGGGGCCTTTTCGCCCAGGCCCACGGGACACGCTGGCCGCGCCGAAAAGGTGCGGTGCCCTCGTTATGGTCGTCGGCCCGATGTCGGTCAGCACAGGCGTTGCTGTCTGCAAGCGGAGATCACCTACAAGTCGGCCCAGCAGCCTGACACGCCCGCGCGAGTGGCATGCCGAGTGGCCCGCTGAAAACTTCCCGCTGCCGAGCACCCAAAGGTAATAGCAAGGAGAATATGACAAGTAGTAAGGAGCAAGGAGGAAAAGGAGCAGTGGGAAAGGGTCGTCGGCCCCCTCGTCGTCGTCGTCGTCGACGACGTCGACGTCGTCTTTCTCGCACCATTGTCGCAGATCGGCTGGCACTGCCAAGTGCTGGCGGGGTAGTGATGCGTGAGGGTTCCAGCCACGTGCGGGCAAGAGCCCTCCACCGCCACATCCGCCGTCTACCCCCCCCCATTTTATCGCGCCCCCACTATTTGAAGTTCGACCGCGAGCGCGGCGCACATCGCCGGAGGAATTTAAGATGTGTGTGTGTGTGTGCGATTGAGTGTTTGCGTGTTTTGGCCCGTCCAAGTTGGCGCTCGGCGCGGGTCTCCTTGCGCGGTGCGGTGCGGTGCGCGGGTCACCTTGCGCGGCCGCTTTGCAGCTTCCGCAAGGTTAGACTCGTTCCCGGTGCGCACTCTTTCTGGCACCTCTTACAAGCTAAACGCTGTGCCAAGGAGAAAGAGTAGGAGAAATAATCTAGATACCCAAATGGCGTGGTGCGAGAGTTTGTCGATCGTCAAGCGACTGGCAACAGACATCGCGGCTCATCTCTGCGCGCCGCTCTGGCTGGCCGCCGCGAAGCATGCAAGCGTTTTCAAGACACCTGACTGGGCGACAGGCAGTGGCAATGCTCAAGGTGGTATCGATAGGGGCTATGCTATACTGTGTGGTGCCCTGCTGCGCTGGAATTTACCATCCCGCGCGACCCTGAGTTGTGCTCTATTGCGTTGTGGATGAAGCCGTCCTCTGCATCCGAGTGCTGTCCGAACTAGGAGGGGTCGTAAGCTCGACCTGCCCGGAGCCTTGTGGAGCCCCTTGGGGGGTAGTTGGAAGCTGTTCGAAGCCTCTTGGGCGCCTCTGGGGGATGCTTTTCGTAGGCCTCTGGGGCGCCTCTGGGGGGGGGGAGGCTTGTTGGGCCAATTGTGGTTTCCTGGGGCTCGGGGATGTTTGGGGAGTTTATTAGGGCCCTCTAGGAGGCCTCTTGGAAGCCTCTTAGGGGCCTCTTGGGGACGTATTGGGGGTTCTTGGAGCGTCGTGGAAGCTTGTTGGGAGCGTCTCGGGGCCTCCTAGGGGCCTCTAGGGAGCGATTTGGAGGCCTCAGCAGCCTATCAGAGGCGATAAAGTGAGAAGTTTGGGTTTCTGAAAGTTACTGCTGTGTTGGAAGCGTTCTTGAACATCTCCTGGGGCCCTCTGGGGCTATCTGGAGCGTCTCTGTAGGTGGCTTGAGGCTCCCTTGAGCCGTCTGAGATCCATGGAAGCCGTCTGCGGGGTGGCTCTCGGTCGTCTTGGGCCACCTGGACGGCTGTTTGATTGCTCTGCGGGGCGACGTTAGGCTTCCCAAAGGCGGGCCTGGCCCTGGGCACACACATTTGCGGTCGAGGTCCCAGCCCTGGGGCTCCCGGGCCAGGTCCCACGTTATATGTACACACTCCCATCAGGGGAACTCCGCATTTCGAACCTCCAACGATGCAGCATGCCTCCATGCGCTACGGCTGCAAGGTGTATCGCGGCCATGGTTCTCCGACATTTCAAAAGAATGAACCTGGGCGAAAGTCTCCCACCCACCCCTGGGCCACCGCTTCGCCATGCAACACGGCGCCTCCGTACAGATATATCGGAACGGGAACGAGGACAAGGAGGCCGAATCAGTGAAGACGGAACGAAGAGGACCATGCTGACTATCACAAGATGACAGCCGTGCGCCCAATACGCAACAACAGGTGCTAATCACCCGCGCCTCTGTCCTTGAGGGGCTGCGGTTGCAGGTATGCGCGTGGTCACGAGGGCGCAACCGTACGCCAGCAAAGAACCCGACACAAATACATGACGGCTGGGCCATCTAAGACTGAATGCTCTCTGGCGACTAAGCGTCAATTATCTCAAAGAGTACCTACACTTAAGGCTCCTATGTGCGCAACAAGAGGACACGGGCCCACATTCAATCCTTAACACACACACGCACACTTGCTACACGAAACGAATGCTTGGGGCTCGCGCGCTGGCATAGGTGCAAGTCAAACTTCGTACATCGAGGAGAAGAGAGGCATGTTGCCTCAATGATTCAGAACGCACAGCATGTTCTCGACCTCACCGAACGCTGCCTCGTCGTCGAGGCTGTTGAGGTCGATATCGAAGCTGTCGCCAAGCTCCACCATCAGAGGGATCCACCTGTGCAGCAGGCTCAGCTCCACGATGAGTTCCTCCTCCGTCGGCTCTTCCAGGAACTTGAAGGTCTTCGTCCTCACTTTGAGTCTCTGGCCGGCGACGGTCCCCTCCCACGAAGATCGCCTCCACCAGCCCGTGCCCTCGAGGCTCTTCACGCTGGACACGGATAGCCCGCGAGCCCGTCGAGTCGACCGATCCCCGGCGCGCATTCACCGCCTCCGACGGACTGGTCGGGAAGACCTCCTCCTCGCTGACCAGACCCCTAGCTACAGCATGCTGTGTCGTCGCTGCCATCGCGCCGTATCGCTCAAAGCGTAAGTTCCCGAAGGATATGACGTTCTTCCAGGACTGCCCCTCGTGCTGGGAGTAGATGTTCAGTGAGATACGCGTGCACTCAACGGAGGGAGGGGAGGAGGAGGAGGAGGAGAGGAGGAGATAGGGACGGATGGGCAAATATTTTTACTCATGGCAGCGTGGCGACGCGCACCTCCACCCGGGCACGGACCCTGGCGGTCCACGCCCGGCGCGCGCGCGTGGGCCCTGACGGTCCACGCGCTCGCGCTCTGGCACGCCTGCGGCCGCACGGCCCAGGCGTCAGGGAGCAAAGCGGGGTGGGTGGGCACCCGCGCGTCGGCCTGAGCCGAACGCTACGGACCCAAAATGGCTACCTGAGCCCACGCCCCCTCCCACTTAACCTGCAGTCTACAAACCTATCAGACTATACAAGTTAAGTGAGATACGCGTGCACTCAACGGAGGGAGGGGAGGAGGAGGAGAGGAGGAGACAGGGACGGAGGGGACATATTTTACTCATGGCAGAGTGGCGACGCGCACATCCACCCGGGCACGGACCCTGGCGGTCCACGCCCGGCGCGCGCGCGTGGGCCCTGACGGCCCACGCGCTCGCGCTCTGGCACGCCTGCGGCCGCACGGCCACGAGAAAGTAAAAGCGCAGCAGCGCGCGCAGGGCCGCCCCGCCAGAGGCACAGGGCGGGGCTCGAGGCCCGGCGAGCTTCGCGCGCGCGGCCACTAGCCTGCATCCTTGAGGTTTTCCGCGCCCCGCGCGCCCAGAGCGCTGGCGCGGCGCGTGCGCGAAGAGCGCAAAATAAGAGAGAAGAAAAAAAAAAAAAAAAAAAAAAAAAAAAAAAAAAAAAAAAAAAAAAAAAAAAAAAAAAAAAAAAAAAAAAAAAAAAAAAAAAAAACGAAGCGGCGCGTGATGCGCCGGGCGCAAAGCGCAAGTGTGGCCCCGCCCGCGCGGAGCGCAGGAAGAAGGGGCCCGCGTTGCGCGCGACGTGCGCGCCATGCTCAAAGTCAACCTCTCACTCACGGGCCTGGCCCCGTTTAGCGGTCCGCCTCAGTGGACCGCTGTCTGCCGCCCGCAGCCCGCGGTGCCGCGGTCGCTGGCGTCTGGGCGTGGGGCGATGCCACGCCTAGATGGATGGCGTGTCCCCCTGGCGGCCACGGCCTTCGTCGCCGCTGCGATCTCCGCCGCGCCCACTGCGGCTGCGGGGGCTGCCACCATCGCCGCCCCTCGAAGCGCGGCTGCCCGCGCCGGTCCTGCCGCGCTCGCTCGGGCCGCGGCTGCCCTGGTCGCCCTTGGAGTAGCCGCCCTTGCCGCCCTCGTCGTCCTTGCCGCGGCCCTTGGCGCCCTTGGCAGTCGCGCCGGCGTGCTTGCCCTTGACCTCGCCGCCCTTGCCGCTCTTGTCGCCCGAGCCCTTGCCGCGCCAGGCTGGGATCCCTCCCCCGCCGGCGGCGGCCTCTGCTGCGGCTGCCGCAGCGCGCCTCCTCTTCTTCTCCTGCTCGTACCAGCCGCCGCGGGGAGCGCGAAGCTGCCCGGCGTGCTTCCCGGTCTTACGCCGCGAGCGGCCGGGGGGGGTGTCGCCGCGGCGCGCCCGCGCTGGGTCCCGCGCCAGGCTGCGGCTGGGCGACCTCTCGCGCATGGGCCAGCTGAGGTCGCCCGGCGGGCGGCCCCCCTCGGCGCCCGCGCTCGCAGCTCCCGCGCTGGGGCGCTCTCCGCGGCCGGAGCTGGGGCCTGGCGCCCCCCGCTCGGCGTGGCCGCTCTGCCGGGCCTTCTCCACCATTGTCTTTGGCTTGCCGTAGCCGACGCGGCAGGCCTCGCAGTAGCTCACGTCGCACCCCTTGCAGTGCCACCGCAGGGCTCCACTGTTAGCTCCGCCCGCGGGGCACATCTCGCAGCCCCGCCCGCCTCCCGGGTCGAAGGAGCTCCAGCGCATCTTGCGAGCGCACGTCGGGCAGGCAGGCGGCTGGATGGTCGGGCCATCCTCCCCGTCGCTGCCTGGGTCGGGGCCGCGAGGCCGGCTCGCCCACTCCGCGACCACCGCGCATGGGTCCGTCTTGTAGAACCGGTAGTTCGACCGCATGCACTCCCGCGCGCGCCTTGCATCCGCGCGGCGCTGGAACTCCACGAGCACGCACGGCTCCCTCTTGTGGCGGTGGTCGCACAGGAAGGCGATGTGCTTGACGACTCCGAAGGGCACCACCACCTGCCTGACCACCTCGGCGTCGACGTGGTGCGGCACTCGCTCGATGCGGATGATGGCCTCGCCCTCGTCGTGCTGGTCACTGGGCTGCTGCTGGGCGCTCTGGCGCTGCTCCTCCTTGCGCCTGCGGCGGCTCCTCGAGCGCGGCCGGCGCTGGGGTGGGCTGTCCCCCGCGCCTGGGGTCGCCGTCTCCTCCACCTCCGTCTTCACCTCGAAGGACCTCGGCGGGGCCCCTCCGCTCTTGGGCTTCAGGACGGCCTCCCGCTTCACGACGACGGCCCTCGGAGGTGCGCCCCCAGTCTTGGGCTTCAGGACGGCCTCCTCCGCGCGCTCCTCGCGCTCGCGGTCGCGGTGCTCCCCGCGCTCGCGGTCGCGGCGCCGCGTGCGCGAGGGTGTCCGGACGACCCGATCGCGCCTGCGGACCTCCTCGGCGAGGCGCCTCTGATCCGGAGAGCGTGGGGGGCGAGGGCGCTCCGCCGGGGCGCCCTTGCTCCGGCGCCGCGCGCAGCCTGGATGGCCGCTCGCGCCAGCGCCGCGGTCGCGGCGTCCTCGCCCGGGTCGAACGCGGGGGCCGGAGCAGGGCCCGCCTCGCCTTGCTCGAAGCGTCCTCCACGTCGGTGAGCCCGCCGACCGCCTCCGCGTCCACCGTGCGCATCATGTCGAGCAGCCCCGTTGTTCTTGCAGAGCTCGCGGAGCCCTGGCATGGGCTGCCCCTGGAACTGGGCCAGGGCGAGCGCCAGCTTGGCCGCCTGGCGCTCGACCTTGACGTTCGGCCCCGCGCCCACTCCCCAAGCGCCGCGCTCGCCGTCGACGAGCACCAGCTGGCCGTGGTCCTCGCTCGCCCCCGCGGCCAGGCAGGCCGCCGCGATGCACGGGGCTGCCTCGTGGTCGTGGTTGACCACCTCGACGAGGTCCTCGCTGTTCAGCTCGTCCACCACCGTGTACAAGATGTTGTGGGCGGCGCTCCGGAGCTCGTCCGACAGCGCGGACCCCGAGACGACGACGCCGAGCGGATTCACCGCCATGATGCTGTAGTCGTGGTAGCGCGCCTTGCTGTGGTCCGGGGCCACCAAGCCTACAAGGAACCCCATGATCCCGAGCGGGCGTATGCACGCTGCTGGCGCGCGGAGCGGAGGCGCGGCCGGCGCGCGGGGCTGGGGCGCGCGCGCCGCTAGCGCGCCTCGCTCTGGAGTCGGAGACGGCTGCGGATGAGAGGACCAGGAGGAGGTGGGCGTGCCTGGGGCGATCGGGGGCGGCGGCGAAGGGGGATGCGAGGACGAGAGGTCCACCGGGATACCCCCGCAACGCGAAGCCCCCGCCCCGAACCGAACACCTGACGGACCACCTTGCTGCTTCCCAGCGCGCCCGCTAGCTCTCCGCCCCGGCTCGTGTCTTACCTGCTCCTCATCCTCTCCCTCCTCCATTTTGCCCCTGCTCGCGCCGATGGGCGCGCCCGCGGGGGTCGCCCGGGCGCCCGGGCCGGGCGCTCCGAGGGCCTCAGGTCGCCCCCAAAAGGGGGCTGGTCGCCCCCGACCAGCCGGTCGGGGCGGGTGCCGGCCAGATCGCCGTCACCACCGCGGGCGCCCGGTGCCAGTAAGGCGTGGCCCTCCGCCATGCCTCGGACGAACGGTGCCTGGCGCCTGTGGTCCTCCCAGAGGTATCCGTGGAAGGCGTCCGTGGACCACCTCCCGAACCTCTTGACCGCCTCTAGGTCGCGACAGGCGTGGCATAACGCCGTCGCGCCCCCGACGCGCAGGGAGTGGGATCCCATCTGGCCCGCGTCCACGCCACAGGCGGCGGCCGCGAGCTGGAGGAGCCCCTGTACCTCCTCCCGCATAATCGGGTGGCCGTCAGGCCTGCGGAACAGGGGGGGGGCCCGCCTCGGTCCCTTGGCCGAACCTGTCCGGCAGCTCCCTCTGGAGTCCGGCCAGTGCGTCCACGACGCACAAATCCACCCCCGAACGGAAGTGGTTGCGCACGCAGCCAGCGTTAAACTGGTCCGTCTTGGACGACGTGATCGCCAGCGCTACCTCGTCGCATTCGCCGAGCCACGCGCTGGGAGCACCCCCGCGCGGGCCCTGCACGTCCTGCCCACGCACCACCCGCCCCATGCTCCAGGAGCGGTCCTCCTGGACCAAGTACTCCGACGCGCGGAGCATGAAGAAGTACCCGGTCATGAGCGCCGCCCATGGGATGGTCGCCTCTCGGCGCGTGGCCGTCCCGTGGGCGAACAAGTATTCGCGGAGCCATCGCAACATGCGGGGGGTGGCTGGCAACTTCCGCTTCGCCTTTCCGCCCCAGCGGCGGAGTCCCTCGATCGTGGTCCAGAGCCGGCGCCGATCAGAGGTCACATCTCCGAAGCCCGCCAGGGTGTGGGCATGCCGAATGGCGAACAGGCGCTGGCGGATGGTCGTGGCCCGCCTCTTCATCACCTTGCACAGGTGCACGACATATATCGGATGAGGTCATCCTCGTCCGTCAGGCGGGCGTCCCGCGTCTCCCCCTGGTGGCGCGGGCTCCGGCCTCGGAGCCTCCGCCAGAGTACCCAGTTACGCCACCCGGCGCTGTAGTTGGCGCGTGTCCCTTCGGCGAGCTTAGCCAGCATCGCCTCGGTGGCGGTCGCGTCCAGCTCGCGGGGGTCGGTAAGCTCACCCCGGACCCCTTTCGGGGCGTCTCCGCCGGCGTAACGCCAGGCCGCGGGCTTCGCGG